GGCTATGCATAGCCTCCATGGAGCGGTCTATGTTTATTACAACAAAATAAAACTTTCAATATCTTCAATGTTCAATATTCAAAATAGAATTTAATTTTAATATTAAATGTTTAATATAAAAATCAATGTTCAATTTTAAATTTTATATAATTTAATAAAATAAAGAAAAAATGTATAAATTTTCGAAAAGTTAAATTTTGATCTTCCACTGAAAATTTCATAATTTGGATTTTTATCAACAGCAGCTTATTTTTTTTCTTTAAATATCACCCATACGTAAAACAAATCAAACGGGACTTTTCTTTTCAATTTCTATCTTTCTCAGAAAGTTGTAAGTGTTCGACCTCGATTTTTGTAAAAAAAAAAAACATTTTTAACTTAATAACATCGCTAGCATCGAACTACTGGGCCGATACCAAAACTACACAGGAAAGTTGTAGATTACCTTTGATTTAAGTGCTTGTTTGGTTAAATTGAACAATTAAAACTTGAAGTATACTCTAAAACGTCAAAACACCTCAGAAAATAAAAAAACAATTAAAAATTCATATCGCTTCCATGAAAAAATTATTAATTGTCTTTTTTTTAATACTTAAGTATGATGTATGGTGATTAGCATCACCCAGCATAAATCATAAAAATGCGTTTTCAGAAAAATCACTATTTTTATTTTGTTTTGTTTAAAAAAATATGCTCAATTGGTCATATTATTTATATTTACATATTATAATTTTTTAATTATTACAATTAATTAATTAATTATAATAATTATTAGGATTAAATAATTAGGTATGGCAATTAAATATTGGGCATAATGTATAATAATAATTAATTATTCTAACAATCGATTAGTTATTAATCGATTAATCATATAATCGATCAATCGATTATTACAAAAAATAATCAACGGTTTGATAATCGATTAATATTCGATTATTTTGCCCACCCCTAGTAATTACTGGGTGATTCCATATAAGTTTGGTTGTGTGTATACATAAATATGGTAACACAGAAAGGTAAATTAAAAATCATTGCGAGTTGTTGATAGTTCTAATTATATGCAGTGTTATTTAAAATCTAAAAATAAGTTGTTTAAAAAAGGTACACCGAAAAAAATAATGTAGTTGAGTTAACATTTGCCTAAATGTCATTTTTAAAAATGTTGTTTCAACAAAAAACCTATTGGATTAATCTATATTTTGGTGTTAAAGCAAAAGTCAGAGTTTGTCAAAGTTTATTTGTTCATTTGACAGTTTAAATATTAATTTAACATAAACTAATATTTTGAATTAAAATGTTTATCGTACTTTGATTTAATAGCTGGAATTTGTTGAATCAACTACTGAAATTTTTAGGATTACCTAAAAAAACTATTAAATTAACGTTTAGTTGCTCTTTAATCCAAAACTTTAAATTTGTTCATTTAACAAATTTAAAATGTTACTTTAAAATTTAAAATGTAAAATTTGCATTCATAAAATTGCCGAGAATGGCGCTTCGAACACTCACGCCACGTCATTAGACAATGACGTTTTCTTACATCTCGCCTTAGTTAGCTTACGATTAGGTGTATATAAGATGAGATATCTGTTTGTTTAAGGTGTGTTCCACAGTAGAACTTTCACTACACCATATTGCCCGACACTGTTAAGACCCTCAATACAGGGCGAAACAGTCTGTCGGTATTTGAAGTAGGTGGAACACATGATACAAAGATGTATCATGGGTGGAACACGCTCAAAACAAAAACTCTGGGCGAGGTGAAGGTTCAATTCTTTCTATTTATATATAATAATATATTATTTCCATAATTTTGTTTTGGATACCAACCTTTAAAGAATTTTACATTTTCAGAATGTTAATTTAACATTTTATTGGTGTTAAGTGAATATGCTAAAAAGGTTACCTGGACATTTCAAGAAATTTACCTTAACACCCTAAGAATGTTAAATTAACCAAATTAGCAGATTAGAACAAATATTCTTATTTTGTTCATTTGACTGTTATTTGTTGTTCAATTAAACAATACAATTTGACATTTTTAGATGGTTAAGTAAACGTGCAAAAACCATTGCTTGTATTTAAAGTGCATAAAGAGTTGAATTAATATTTTTTTTTGTTGTTTCAACAGCTTATTTTTTTCAGTGTACAGGAACAAAAATTAAAACAACTGAAAACATCAGCAGTTTGTTAAATGCAGCGAAAGTCTAAAGAGAAGAGCAAGAAACCATAGAAGATAGAACGAATATTTTCTAAATATGTACGAAAAGTAAATAATTTAATAAAATTGTGTTTTTTAACCAAATATATCTAGATAATCAATTACCTAGAAGTGAAAAATAAATTTTAATATTCACAACACAGTTTAGCAATAAAAATAATTGTTACTCGGAGACCAGATTGTCAATTTTTTTAAAACTTTGTAAATATTTTTTAAATAGACTACCACAACCTAATTTTTTTAACATTTTCTCAAAGCGAATTATATCGTGCCCGAACCTCCTTAATATATGTACGAGGTGTGTTCAGAAAATAACGGGAATTGTTAAATTTCGCGGGTTCGGAGGGTCCGGTTGTCATAAAATTTTCTTTATTATGTGGTATACATGCCCCCGAAGTATGATAAAAAATTTAGCTGTTTTCATTGTTTACTTTGTCTGTGGCAGCCGCTAAGGTTAGACGTGTTTTATGAGCTCGGCGATTTTTCGTTCGTTAAAAGAAATGAATCAAAGAATTTGTATCCAATTTTGCTTAAAAAATGAAATAAATTCTGTGAAATGTTAATAAAGACCTATACTGGGTCTGCTACAAGTAAAAAAAGATTACCAAGTGGTATAAGAGTTTCCAAGATGGCCGTGAAGACGTTGAAGATGACGAACGCCCCGAACGCACAAGCACATTAACAACCGATAAAAACATGGAAAAAGTGGAAGAAATGGTTATAAACCATCAAATAAGTCGCTGATGATGTTGGTATATCGATTGGCTCATCCCATGAAACAAATGTTTTGGGTATGAAACGCGTGGCAGCAAAATTTGTTCCAAAATTGTTAAATTTTGAACAAAATTTTTGGCCAAAAACAATACTGTAATGATGCCCCAGCCTCCATATTCGCCAGACATGCCTCTGTCAGACTTTTTTCTATTCCCAAAAATAAAGAGAACCTTAAAGGGCCGTCGTTTTGAAGCATAGATGACATTAAAAGCGCATCGCTGAAAGAAGTAAAGGCTATCCCAAAGATCGAGTTTTAGAAGTGTTTCGAGTATTGGAAGAAGAGCTGGCACATGTGCATAATATCCAATGGGGATTATTTTAAAGGCGACAACGTTATTGTAGACGAATAAATAAATATTTGTTTCAAAAAACGAAAATTCCCGATATTTTCTGAACACACCTTGTATATGTATATAAAATATTTACAATTACAAACCTGGGGTAAAAACTAAAACTTAAATTTACTAGAAGAGTGTTTAAATGGTTAAATATACAAAATTCGTTATTTAAAAGTACAATTCTTACCTTAAAATGTGTTTTTTAGAATATTATCACAAATTTATTACGCTAAAAGCGTTCGAACATAAACTAACTGTATAAATGTATTATTCTATTAAAAGATGACAAACTTTTTAATGGAATAATGTTTTCAATTAAAAGACGTGGGTTGTACACTGCAACTATAACATAAAGCCTTAAGCCTGTTAAATAATCAGATTAAAAGTTTTAACAAAGAATTTTTTATTTCTTTTTGATCTCGACAAATAAAAACTTTGTGACAGGGGATTTTACGTCTTTTTTTAGTTAAGTTAAAAAGTATTTTGTATACATAACCTTGGTTTATGACAAAAAACAAAATTTTCGTAGTTATATTATAATGGACAATATTAACGTTAAGACCGCTACTGTTTTCTTTAAACATTTTCTAGACAGTGACTATAATTTTAATTTAAAACACCAACTCTTAAACTACAAGTTTCAATATCAAGTTTAAAAAAACGCATTATGTCCTATCTTCTTCTTCCATTCTTCGTGCCCTTTTTTCTCCCTACTTTCTGCGGTTTGTTAGAAAAAATTAAAAAAAAAACGATTTTTTTCAAAAACTGTCTTTGACGACTCCTACTGGTGAACCAATGCGAGTTACAAAAAAAACTCAAAAGCAATTTTAAAGAGCGTGAAATTCCCCATATGTGTATTAAACCGATTTGCAATATTGTCAAAGGTGGGTAAGCATTAGAAATTTGAAAAAATATATATATTTTTTACATGCATTTTAAACAGTAAAACTTTAAATTTAAATAGTAAGTACTTAAAATTAATATTAAGAGCTCAAACTTGGTGAGAATGTTTTTTCCTATATGCAGATTAATATTTTGCTTGAGCACCGAATCAAAACAAAAACTTTGCGGAAATGAATCACCCTACTACACATACTTCACTTCAAACAAAACTGTTGATATTATATTATTATTATTATTATCAAGTGGTATGATTATCATCGATGATATTTTCGAATTAAAACGTAGCTGCAGATTTCACGAGTCCGCAGGACGAGTGAAATGTGCATCTTCGGTTTCAATGAGTAAATATCTTCGATTATTATTAATAATTAATAATTTATTAATCATACCACGAGTTATATTTAGTGAGAAAATATAATGAATTTTAGGATTTAACGAATTTTTAGTTTGATATTTGAAATTAAAATGTGCTTTAAAATATAAAAAGACTTTATTTATTCAAACTTACCTTAATTTCATTATCGTTTACACCAACCCATCGATCTTTTAGAGTTTATAATTCATTATTTTATTGATATATATCAAAAATAGAATTGAAATGACAACAAATGTCAAATCAAAAAAACGTCAAAATTCATAGTAACGTGTAAACAAGATGATAAAAAATATTGCCGCTGTGATAAAATACGTCACTATGGAATACTGGCATATTAATGAATTATATTGTCGCCATAGTATTGATAATGAATGCATATTTAAAGTTTTAGTTGTAGTTGTAAACACTACTACTAAGTACATGCGTTTATTATCATACGTGCGTTAATTATAAATAATTACACAAATTCACAATTAAAGTACGAAATCATACATTTTCTTGAGTATTAACAATAACGTGATCCAACTTCCTTCTACACCTAAAGAAATTTTTAAAAGCTAAATTATAATGCTCATCGTACAAAAACAGTACAAAACATACATAAACTGGATACAGCATGCCTACAATCTTAGAAACATTTATAAATCTAAAATAATAAAAGGCAAAAAGTATATTCAGTAGTAAAGGCATCCAGGCAAGCAAAAATAAATTGGGAACAATAAAACTTATATCGTAAGTAATATACTTTTTGTAGCTCTTCCTTTTAAAAACATGAATTACATCTAACCCCACTATAAAGGCAGCGTAAATGCCTGTAAATAGTATTAGCAGACTTATTGGTAGCTGGTATAATCTCCAATTCACACAAGCTTCCAAATGTAGCAGAATCAACAGTCCCAATAAAATATAAACCGCTTTAATAACGCTCTGGAAGTACTTCTGAAGCCAAGCGTTCTTATCCGGCGCGTATATTCTCGAGAACCAATAAATCTTTATTAAAATCATAAAGAAAATAATGCCCTGCATCAGAACGCCCCACAAGTCGTCCAAGAAACAGTATAGGGTTTCTGATATATTTTTCACCAGATATTTCGCGTCATCGAACACAAGCGCGCACTGAAGTATGATGATGAAATTACCAAAAATCGAGATGTGGAGAATTAGAGTGTCCAAATTACTGTTCAACGTGTTGGAGTTTTTTATCGTTGAAAAAATTATCACCAGATTCGACGTGAAGCTGAGGAATGCTGCAATTAAAATTATTGCTTGGGTCACCATGGTTTCGGTCGTTTGATCGGCAACAACGAATGTTCCATTTCTGATGTGATACTCCACTTTTTCGAATACGTGGGTGAGATTGTGGAAATGGGCTTCCATTCTAAAAATAAACAAACTTTATTATAATATATTTCCGGTCAGTAAAATTGTGATTATTCATACATAAGAAGATATAAATGTATCAAGATATAGAAATAGAGATTATAATATTTTTTATGATTTTACTGATTTAAATTAAAACTAAGACCGAAATAATGCGATTTAACTAAATTTACTTTAATAAAAAACAAAACATAAAATTTCGGGTTTTCGCAACGCGCGCGCCATCTGGTGGACTTCGAATGCATTGCGTGAATTTAAGAATTGTCAACAATAAATTTAAAGCACGGATTATATATAATTTTTAAATAAATAGGTAGTTTTTTTACAAAAGAGACAAATTTTGTTCAATTGCACAGCTAAATCGCGCACGTTATTTGTGTTTTACGTTGCAAGAAAAAAATTAAAAAACTTTTTTAGTACTCGATTTTACTGAATAAGAAACTCAACGCTTAAATTTATCAAAGGAATCATGGTGAATTATTGTGTTTTTAATTGTAAATAAAATTCAAGAACTAAATCGTTGCATTTTCATGTTTTGCCAAAGGATCCAATTCGGTAAGTACATTTGTTGATTCAGAATTAACTAATGATAACTTTACCTAATATAATTTATATTTTAGTTTGGCATTTTTAAGAAATTAGTAAAAAATAATTTTTGCAGAAACATAACCTTAAAATCAACCATTTTTATGTTTGATTTTCTAAAAACCGCCGACAACTGCATTTTAAACAACAAAATATACCTACTAATTCATTGCATATAATATTATATATAATACATAATATAATGGTATTTTACCGTTGAGAGGAGACTTTATTAATCAAGGATTTTAATAATGCTAAATGCTGTTTAAATTTAGACGACTTTTACTGCATTGAAATGTTTAAACTTTTCACGTTAATCACTACTAAAATGTGTATTTATTGTATCTAATAGGTACAATTTATATTTACAGAGACTGTATGCAATTTATTTCTACATTCAGATTAACACTGTTTATTGGAAAACCGGTAAAAACTCAACCCAGGATTTCCTCTCGAAATACACCCAACAACACAACAAATCGAGCCACGTTTTTTTTTTTTTAATTTTAACATTTTCCGGCTTTTTTCTCCAAAACACTCGTTTGTAACATAAGCGTTTGACAGCTGATTATTAAAAGTTACGATGATAACAACCGAGTGGTGGCGCTACTAGCGCGATACTTTTTTAGCTTCATGTTCCTGTCATGTTACTTATTTATTTTATCTTTAAACTTAATAATAAAATGTTATATAGTGACTTCTTGCAGGGGTGTATTATATTTTTGATCTTTATGATGATGCATTTTCTGATGACGAAACATCGAAAGGTCAATTTGAGGATGCTGTTAGACTTAGAATTTACTCAGGATTCTAAATATGTAAAAATATATAGGGCGTTCCATTTAAAAATCGAAAGTTGATATCATTTCCGGCAAAACCGGAAGTTAAAAAAATTGATTTTGTACTCTTATAGGTGGCATTTTATATCCTAATTAACCTTGCTAAATTTCATGGGTCTATCTTTATAAATAAAAAAGTTACAGGGGTGCGCCTATTCTCAGATACACCCGGTATATGTATTATTTCATTAAATGTAAAATTTATCCAAAGGAACCGATATTTAGTCATCAAAAAGACCCAAATATTTGATTAGAGAAATTCGATACAACACACATGATCACTACATTAAATTTTTTTGTTTATTACATATAAATAATAAACAGTATTACTTAATAGTTTTTCAGTGTGATGTTGCGAATTTCTGTAATCAAATAAGTATCGTTCTTTATATTTCCGAAACAGTTGAAGATAGGTATAGAAAATTGTACATAAAATATGTCTACAATTTTCTGAATATTCCAAAAATTTAATAATATACAGGGTGTTTTATTTGAAATAGGAAATACGATATATATATTTGCTAAAATTAGCTTTTTAACATTAGAATTAGTGGTTATACAGACATATCTGTTTCTGTAAAAAAATTTAAAAAAAACAAATATTTCAAAAACTGTTAAAAAAATAACCAAACTTTAGTACTTCTGGAATTTGACGTACTCTCTAAAAATTAATTAGTCAAAAATGACTAATTTAATAGTTATTACAGTTTAGTTTCACTTGTATCATTGTTAACCATGGAATACCATGGTATTCCAAAATTTAACAGCCAATTCTTATGTAAAATTGTCTCCTGAATCCAAAAATGTCGTTAAAAGTTTAAAAAAAGTAGAACAGTTTTTGAGATATACCTACTCAATTTTCCATTTAATATGGAATTGACTATATCTCAAAAACTGCTCCACTTTTATAATTTTTGACGTTATTTTCGGATTTAGGGGACAATTTTACATAAGAATTGGCTAATTAATTTTGGGATACCATGGTATTCCATGGTTAACGATGGTACAAGTGAAAAAGCAGCCACTTATAACCATTAAATTAGTCATTTTTGACTAATTCATTTTTAGAGAGTAAAATGCAATAATATTTACATGGTTTTAAAAACCAAACTTAATATCACTTCCGGTTTAAACGGAAGTGATAACGTATAAAAAATAATTTAAAAAAATAGTTTAAATTGCCTTATAATTGCTTTAAAAATTTCAAATAAGTTGTTAATCACCCTGTAAATATATCCATAAACGTTAAATTTCCCATTACAAAATATTATTATGAGTAGAGATAATCAATAAGTAATTAGTAAAAATCAATTAAAAAAAATCTGTAATTCGAAAGTTGTTGTATTAAAATGTTCCAAATTAATTAAAATAAGTAAAAAACCTTCATTAAATCTTATACTTACTCAAAATATATAAATAAACACAAATATGCTTTAAAAAACGTTCAATAAATTATGTTAATTATTTATCATGAAAATTATTAACATAAATATCAATAAAATTGCAGTAAAAAATTAAATCAAACCCAATCAAAAACTATATCAACCTTGAAAAGAATATTAAGTTATAAATGGTAGATTTTTAATTAAAGATTCAATTATATATATATATATATATATATATATATATATATATAATTGAATCTTTAATTAAAAATCTATATACATATAATGTATTTTTATTTTTATAATAGTTCTTTCTAGAAACTATTTATTTAATTTTTTAAACTTACTAAGGAATCCACCATTCAATTTTGTGACTATGATTACACTAGTAAACAATAAAAAAAGGTCGGTAATAAAAATAGCACAGTCCTATACATTTTCACCTGCTCGACGCAAATCCGGCGACCAAAAAATTTTCCAAAGTCTCGTTTAGACGATACGGGCAGCACCATGATACAAAGAAAAATTGTTAAATAATAACGATAAAAATAAATAAACAAAATAATTTGAACGATAAAAAAGAGTAAACATCAAAAAAACATGCCTTAAATTTTTACAATATGTACAGATATGTTGTTCATGGAATGCTGAAATATAAGTTAAAAGTAACGTCAAAATTTTCAAATGGTGTATCTATGCAATAAATGGTACCATAATACTGTGCTCCTATTTTTATTTACGACTTCAGAAATTTTTTTAAAAAACATTTTAGATCTATTTCAGTCATGAACGATCGAAAAATTCTATTTTTAACCAGGACCTTTTTTTTAAGTTAAAATTTGTTGCCTAGTGTTATGTGACAACCTGTATATTTGTACTTACCTCAATACCACAACACAAAACAAAACAATACAACAGAATGCACTTAGCAGAAACAAAGTTTTTGTTAATTATTCATATACAACCGAAGGCAACTCGGGCCAAATGAGGTCTACTTATCGAAACTATAAAAACACAGATAAAAGTATCCAGTACGTAAGTTTTATTCATAACAAGTACTTCTTGCTGATATCACGCAGTCTAATGATCCGAACTGGATGAAGTATTAACGTATAGTGGATAGTCCAATTGATAGTTTTAATAGGGAAAAAATATATTTTAAATATTAAAAAACTAGTTTTATAGCCTTGATGTTAACGGGATTTGTTTAAAAAATGCGAAGAATTAGTGGAAAATAAAAAAAACAAACAAGTTCTCGTATACGGGTATACCCATAATTATGTTAAACAATTTTTTTACAATTTGTTCCATACATTATGTTAGTGAAGTTAAGCCAAGTATTTTAAATTCCGCCATTTTGTAGAAGCTATGACGTCATCGGCCGTTTTTTTAAATTTAAAAGTTTGTGATTTAAAAAACTATTATTTCCAAAAAAATATTTTTAACTAAAATTTAAAAAATGCTTTAAAAAATGCTTTTAATGGATACATAAACCAATTAAATGTTCGAATTGCTCCCCGTTGGTTTCTTGATGCAATTCGAAAATTCTCTGAGAACAGCAACATCCCAGTGAGCATTTTATTCCTAAAATGGAAATGTGTCTATTGCGACATTGCTGTTACGTCGCAGAGACCTTGTTTTGTGTTAAAAAATACACAGTGACGTCATGACACCATGACTTCCTGACACCGGAGAGGAATTGTGTATAGAGTACACAATATAGGACTTGTGTATACACACGAGTCGCAGTTCCTTACGACCATTTGATGTATGACGCAACCAAGGATTTGTGTAAAACTGTTACCTTAATGTGTATACACATATATGTGTCCATCATGGTCGCAAAAAGGGATCTGTGGAAAGTAAAGTGTAACAAACTGTAGGCATTGTGTTCATATAGCCACACAGGTAACTTTGGTATGAAATAAAGTAGGAATTAAACCTAAAATTTTCCCAGATTGAAACCTACGATTTGTTTGTGAAACAATATAGGCATTTTAACTGTTAAAACACTGTGTAGTCGCAAGAAATAATTTTATAACACATTGTAGTAATTGTGTGATGTGCGATTCCTTATTTGTAAAGTTAATATAACATAAATTACACTATCTTTTCAAAGGTTTTAAGTAGTGACCAGCGTAAACATGTTTTTAAACCATAGAAAAACTAAACTGCGTTAACGTTAACAATTGTTTTTAATATAGATTATGTATTGCCATGCGCGTAAACACGGTATTGCGTGAAACAATTCCTGTTTTGCGCTATAATTGACACATTTACTAAAACAATGTCTTATTTGTGTTATAATTGACAAATGGTAGAACATGTTTGCAACGAAGTAGTTTATGGGTCACACAATACCTCCTCTGCGTGTGGTTTCACAAATAGGGCACAAACAGGGAATCTTGTTTCCTGTAGCCATCTTTATTATTCTATGATCAGAGCCATTACTTAATAAATACTTAAACTCATATATTTACAACGAAATTAAGAAATTATTAACAAATAACCATCCTTTTTGATAAACCACCCCAAAAAAACTATAATAACAAACATATGGGTAAAAAAATATTTTTTTTTTTCGTTATTTATTATTTTTACAAAGGGGTGCTCTCTATTTCATTAGAGCATCAAAAAACTACAGGAAAAAATTTTTGTCGCAAGAAAAATTGGGTTTTCCGACTGTTTTAGGCATTTTAAATTATTAAGTTTATTTATTGCATTATAATAAATTTATATATGTATATACTTTAGTATGGTGATGCATCCATGAAATAGAAACATTAAAGTTAAAAGAATATCATTATTAATATTATTGTTACCATAGTTGTACACTTTGTGTTTTATAAAGTTAAAGCTGTTACAATTAATATTATATTTACCACTTTGTGTCTTCTTTTACTTTATACTGTATACTGTGACTTAGCAGTAATAATTTGGGAATTGTGTTAAACACGTATACGTCATTAGATGGGCATTGTGTACGTCAAAGTATAGGAATTGAGTACTGATTACTAAACAGTCGTTGACCCAGTCGGACACACAATTCCTAGGTATATCCCTTGATGTGTTGTGTCACGGTGCTTCAGTTTCGAAACGTATTTGTCATACAGCAGTCGTCGTTTCGAAACAAGTGTGTGCAAATTGACACTAGCTATGTCACAACTTCGGAAGTTTTCCCCAAATGCGACAAAAAAATGCTCACTGGGATACTTCAGAAATTTGATGTAGACCTTTTTCTCTGCTCCAGTATCTACAATTTTAACGGTTGACTGTACCATTCAAACAGAAGGTAGCTTTGTACGAAATAAGTATTTTACGAGGAAATTGAGGATTATTGTTAGATAAATTTATCGTAGTTCACAGAATTGTAGTCTACGGCCCGGATCATCTTTGTTAAGTTCCTGCTCTAGTCTAATTTTGTAGATATGGTTGGTACTTTTCTTTCTTCATATGTGGTCAAAACTAAAGTATAGGACGAACAAAAATGCCAACCAAAACTGATAGCATAATCTGATTATATACTATTTTGGTAACACAAAAATGTATTTATAAAAAACCCAGCTGATTCTTTATTAAAGTTTTGCATATTTCTTAGTATTTTAAAATTGTTTATGCCATTTCGATAAAATACTCTAGTACCATTAACAAATATTTTTAAAAATATGGCAGATACATGACTGAAATATGGATAAATTGCATTATAAATACAAAATAATGTAAAATACAGTTTGCAATATCTTATTTATTGTTTTAAGGTACCTAATACAAAACTAATAAATAACTAAAGATGCTTTGAAGCAAAATCGATTATTGCTTGCCTTAAATTTTCAGTAAAACTTTTTCTTGGGTTTTACATGGAATTGTTTTTAACATGGAAACAGTATTTTTAAATTCTTCAGTCTCTGTACAAACATGATTCTTACATATAGCGATATCCCCTAGAAAGGAAGAGCATATCAAAACTTTAGTTCGTTCGTCCGTCCTCTTCCCTTAATAATTTTGTATGCCTTTATATCTTGCCATTTTGCAGATAAAGCTCATACATTCTTGGCTGCCGCGAAATTCTCTAGCAATTTCTAAATTTTTAAAATTTGGCAATTGTGGCTATGCAAAAATACCGTTTTTACCATATTAAAGTAGGTAATTTTGAATCACTTAGGTTAAAGAGTTCGTTTGAAAAAGTCTGCAGTAATTTCTATATTTTCTCAGAAACCCTAAACTCTGAATTTTTCGATTACCAAAAACAATTTTGTCTCCACAGCCAGCACATACCTTCTTTTGATTTTCTTCATGGCTTAACTTGAATTTCGGTTTAATTTTCATTTTAAAATACTATTTTTAACTTTATAAAGTATACATTAAATAAACAACTAAAGCAAAATGTCACTTGCGTTATAACGTATAGCAATTTTTTTCATATCCACCTTAAATATTGTTGTAATTATTTCATAGACAAACTTCCAGTATATTTTGTTATAAAAAATATTTAAGATATAAATCTTCGTTTTTTTTGTTATGTTGTGTTTTGAGTGGAAAAATAATAGGTGACTCAATAAATTAATACTGGGGAGTAAAGTAATTTAAATAATACAAAGTTTATTATTTTGCTTCATTTTATTAAAATTGTATAGGTAGTTTTAGTACAATAATTGCAAAATAATATATAGAAATAGAAAAACAAAAAATTTTGCCAAACTTTAAAATAGGATCAGCTGGGATTTTGATAAATACATGTTAGTGTTACCAAAAGGGTCTATCTATAATCAAAATATGCTATCAGTTTTGGTTGGCATTTTTTCCGTCCTATACTTAAGTTTTGACCACCGTGCATAAGACGTTAATACTAAGCATTGGCTGACTTGACTTTTAGCTGCTACTAGGCTAGAAGCAATTTGAGGATCTTCTTTCACACGTAACAAAATGTCAACTTGTTCACTAATACTCGGACGGCCAGGTTTTGGAATATCTTTGACATGTCCTTTCTATCTGAATTTCCGTTTAATTTTACTAACCGTAGCACTAGTAATAGGTCGATCTGGGTACTTTGCATTAAATAAATTAAAAATTTCTTGTTGTGTTCTGGTTTTATTGCCATATCCCATGAGAATTAAAACTTCAATTATCTGTGTTTCCGTGAAATAGCTCATATTTAAATACTTCCAAATATTTGGAGACAGATATTTCCCTGAACGCTCAACTAAAAGTTTTAACATCTCGTAATGAATATTTGTTTTAAATTAAATGCTAACAAAGAAATATAAAATAAAAAACTTTCATATTTCGGCACTTGCTGTTTGTGGAATAACAAAAAACAATTATAAACTGAAAAGGTTTGACCTTGAAACGAAATATTTTGAGAAAATTTTTACATTCCTTCTATATACACTTTTTAATTTTATCAAAACCCCATTAAAAAATCTTTTTATAAAAACTATAAAACATTAAAACATAAATGTAATTTAATGTACCTAATGTAATATTTCCACTTTTAATACCTAATTAATATCTCCAAAAAATAAGCCCAAAAGGAATAAATGTGGATATTGCTAAAATTACAATTTCATAATCTATTCGAATCTCCAAAAAAATTGTTGAATTTTTAAATGAATTTATTCCATACTTTTTCCGGTCACTGTATAAACTTAAAATCATTAGAGGTTTTGTTTCAAAAAATATCATGGTCCATGATTCATGGACTCATAAAATTTACATAACATATATATTTATTGTTTATTATTATATATACAATAGTTTAGCAATGAAACAAATTTAATTTTAATGCATTTTTCATTAAAAATGGTTAATTCCTTCTTCTCTATTTTCAATGTTTGTGGTTACTTCATCTCCATTGAAAACTATTGGATCCTCAATCAATTCTTTGGAATATTCTCTACAACCGCATTTTAAAACATGCCGTATGTAGGTTTTGTAATCATTATCAAGTATATACAAAATGATAAAATTATATATGGGATTTGCTAGGCCCAGGAACATTAAGAAAAATATGACCATGTAGTGGATCCTAAAGATTGGCACGAATATCATGGACAAAATTGTCGGAATATAAGATAGGAAAAAGGTGTTTGTTATTATGAAATTAAGTTGGTATTTATTGTCGGTGGGGTTGTTTC